CTCATCAAGACCTTTCATTTGAGTACCCACATCAATTTTTCATATATTTATATATATTATATATATATGTATATATGAAAAATATATCAAAATGCATGTGGGTACTCAAATGAAAGCTCTTGATGAGTGTAACATCGGGATGAGCTTATATCTTTAAAAACGTGAATAGTTAAAAAAATACAGTGCAATTTAACAAAAATCATCATTTAATAAAACAAAATTTTATTTATTTATAGTTTACAAGTTACGGCAGTCACATAGTGACAGCGAGGTTGTTAGTACTTATTATTCCTTTAATAATAAGAAAAAGCGTATTTAGAATTTTAAAAAATTGATGCAATATTTGCTCTTAATTTGACTTAACAATTCAATATTAAAAAAAAAATTGCATCAATATTTTTTTTTTTATTTTTACAAAATTATTTGTTGACAAGTCTTAAAAATTGCCATAAGTCCATAATTTTCATAACATTAAAGCAATTCATTTTGTTTGATTAAACGTGAAAATGTTAATAACTTATCATTTTTTTATTTTTTAAGTTATCAACGTATATATTCGCTTCATAAACAGCCAAATTCACTCTCAATTTTTCCCATTCTAGTAATAATAATAAAGTATATAGGTCAGAAAACGTGAATTTTTATTTTTTAACTTTTAAAAATTTTTTTTTGTGGTTTTTTCTTAACCGCTTCGTTAACTCAGCGGACTCTAAGTAAAAAAAATCTAAAATAAAAAAGATTAATTACATAAATGTATAAAATCAACCTTATTTTGATTCTATTGAGTAGTTACATGATTAAAAAAAAATTAAAATTTTTAGGGAAAAATACTAGAGCTTACAAAATAAAAAATCGACGTGATGATAAATATAAAAAAATGGAATAAAATTTTAGATTGAGATGTTTTTACCGAAAATAATATTTTTTCATTTTTTCACTGATGAGAGTCCTTTAGAACTAAGCCGTACACACGGTTCCCTTAATTTTTATTAAGTATAAGATCGATAAGAGCGTCAAGTCAGTATATAAATGTAAAAAGGTTAGAAGTTCTTAAGAGATACCAGAAATAAAATTTCCGTTTATTATCTATGGGCATTCATGCATATTTGACTGCTGAATTATAAAAGCTTCTAGAAATTCTTTAAAATTTTTGTTACTCGTGCTCATTTTTGTATGTATTCTTGCTCGAGTACATCGCTGGTTTTTATACTTTTACCACAAGATTCACGGTTATTTTCTTGTCTAGTGGTATTGTATGTATCCAGACCTCAAGCATGGCTCTGGCTCGTTATTTACGCCGCAGTTCTTTTCCTTTTGCTGTTTCTCACTACAATAAATTTTCAGTCTATTTTCTGTGGAAAGGTGAATAAAATACATACATACACATACATAACCCAACCTCGAGGTGTTAATTATCTAAAAAGCTGTGCTGAGTTGTGATTGTTAAACTGCAGTAAAGATATTTTATTCATACAATTTAAGTAATGTTCAATAGCGAAAGAGAAAAGAAAGTAAATGGGCCTTTTGAAAAAACTCTAAGGAAAAAAATTGCTTTAGGTCATTTTGTTTCTGTTTGCTGTTTGATAAACAGCGATTAAAAAATTTCCATTTAAAATGTAAATTTCCAAAGAAAAGGAACATTTTTTACTTTGTCGCTGAATTTAATTATATCGACTGCGGATAAAATATTTTTAAATAAAGTGACAATAATTATCGACTGAAGGTACAGAGATTTTAATTCATGAATCTTAACACCAGGAAAAAAATTTTTGTAGCGAAATTACTGACTTTTATTTTCAAAAAAATTCTATCACTGAAAAAAAAGTTTTCCCTGTGGTTAAAAAAAAAGTATTCCTAAAATAAGAATACCAAAGTTTACTATCCATAGGAATAAGTTTACTGGATATAAAAAAACTTGGTATTCTCATTATTAAAATACTAAAATCAATATGGCCGACTTAACCTCGCTTGGTCGACACGAATCTTTAGGATAGATAATTATGAGAAACTACATTTTTTGTAATTTTTCATTTATAAACAATCTATCACACTAAAATTAATAAAAATGAAAAATAGTATATTAAGCCTTTCTTTTCTTATTTTTAATTCTTATTGTTATCAAAAAATTGCAATTTCTTGCTAATAGCATTGTTTTACTAATTTACTAATAATATTACTAAGGTAAAAGACCTAGTTATTGACACTTGCAATTTTATTTTAATTAAAAAAAATAAATCAACTCTGATAATTTAATAAAGATTATATTTGAATTATAAATTTAAAAATAATTGGTTTTTTGAAAACATTCTATTTTTTTAATTAGAATAAAATTGCAAGTGTCAAACAACTAGGCCAGTGAAAATAACTGGGTCTTTTACCTTATTATAAAAATTGATTATAAGGAAAGAATGTATTGCTAAAATGAGTTATAAATTTGTTGAAGATGATAAATTCCACTCTGACAAACTTCTTTTGCATCCAAGAATCCATATAAGTAAGGGAGTAAGGGGAAGTAATATTAATGATTAATACTTTTATTTATAATTTATAAATTATTTAATTTAAACAAATAAATATTTAGGTAAGTAGACTCAGGCACGAGGTAAACTAATAACTAAAAAATACGCGTACACTGTAGATTGGAGGGAAATTACAAAATAGTGGCGCCACCGTCACGGTTGCTATGGTAACATAGAATTTAGTTTTAGTCCTGTTAAAAAACTTGGTATTCTCAGATTTAAAATACCAGTTTTCTTAAATCTAAAATATTTAACTTGACTTTTACTGCGTACAAGAAAACTCGAATAAAAAATATTCAGTATTCCGGGTATAAAAAAACTTTTTTTTCAGTGATTGATTGAAGATCATTTAATCAAGCTAATTTTTCTATTAGTAATATTAAATACAGTTAAAAATATCAAAAGTTCTCATTTTTAAAGGCAATAATTAAAAGTAAACAATAAAATAAAAAAACTGATATTTATTTATGCTTTTTAATAGTAAGGTTACTTCTGGTAGCCTCTAATTGGTTAAATGCCTTTGCTTTTATTTTATTTTCCGATGTTAGCCCACCGCTAGTTTCCTACCGGATATTTTTTACATCAAAAGTATTCGGGTATATACCCAATGAAAAAAAATTCTATAATTTATGAGCACATATATATTTAATGTAGGTCACCGGTACTCGAATTTTTCATATTTATATTTATATTTATACCTATAAACGATCATCTCGTATATTTTAAAACGATAAAGCAGCAAATTTTTTTTTGTTACTTTTTTTGAACTCTTTCGTACTGCAGTAATCAACTATGTTTCTGTAATTCATAAATTATAATTACTATTGACTTTTATAATAAATATAAATTTTATTTTCTCAGCAAATATGAGCCAAGACATTTAATGTCAATCAAACTGATATTGGTATCAAAAGATCTGAAAGGGTATTTCGTAAAAGTTGTAGATGATATCGCTCAGATTAATGATAAATCGGCTCTGACAGTAAAATCTAGGTATTATATAGTAAATTTATGTGCTACCTGTGATATATATTTTTGATAATTATTTTTTATATGAAAAGGAAGAAGAGGAAATAGGCTGAGCTGAAAAAATTCCAATATACTTCATCACTATTAAATACTTTTTTTAAGCTAAATTATTTTTAACAACATGCTTTAATATTGAGAAAAACTTCATTGAATTTACGCAAAATTGTGTCACTATTTGGATGGAATTAAGCAATAACGTCTCAACCAACATTTAAAAAAAAAATCGAGTTATTATGATGAACGTACTTAGTATCATAAGATTACTTAGTTTATCATAATAACTCGATTTTTTTTAAAATGTTGGTTAAGACGTTATTGCTTAAATTCATCCATTTAAAATTCATGTGTTGGGAATATTAGTAGCTTGATATAATTTTTTGCGAAATATTTAAATTTAAAGGTTTTTTAATTCTAAAAGCTAATTATACATCTTAAAGTTTGAAGAGAGCGTTAAATATTCAATCATTTTTTTCCGTGCCTCAAAAAGTTTTTAAGAAGTTTTTATTATGAAAATTTAGATTAAAAAACTTTAGTCGAAAAAAATTGATTTTATTTATTTCAAAATAATAAGGTGATTTTTTTTTGTAAAATAAAGTAATCAAAACTGCTCAGATCTTTATTACTTTTCACTGTACCAAGTAATTTTTGTTCTAAAGGCAACAGGATTAGCGCCAGAGGTGACAATTTCGAGAATTTCACTTCCAACAAATTACATGTACTTCTCCATAAAACTTCTATCTAAAAAGACGGAACTTTATGTCTCATATCATCACAGAATTTTTATTTCATAATTTCTTTCCAAATTGCGACATTATATCATGCCAAAGTTTTTAAAAATTTTGTCTTACAATAAAATTTAAAACCCACTATTTTGACTTCGTACCGAAAACTAATCTCAGTTAAATTTTGCTCTTACAAATTAAAAGCAAAAATAATTTTTTTCTTACCATTAAAAGTTTTTTAAAAAATAATAATATTAAATACTTTCAAAAATTAATTAAAGTAGATAAGAAAATATTTTCTTGAGCATGTACAAGACAGAAGAAATAATAAAAATTCTGCGGTAAAATATTTGATAAAGTTCTCTGTTTAATAATAGTTATTACGATAAGAGTAAAGTTGTAAGTTGTTTTAATATAAATTCTTAGATACTGAAAGTACTTAAGGGTTGTAAAAAGGTAGGAACGGATTTATTGGAAAACTTAGTATATCGATACCCTCTGGGTCTGAACTGCGGTATGAGACAATCGTGGTGTGTTGTGGTGTGTAGTATTATTATATATAATACAGTTGGTGCTGTAAAAGCCGATAATAGTAACTACATACCTTAACCATCTATTTACAATGTAGTGGTAGTTAAATTGTGATAACCGAGTTACCAGGCTGTCTTCCGTCAAGCTATCTCTCCGTACCGATATTTAATATTTATTATTCTACTACACTTGTTTCACAAGGTATAATTGTTTTACCAATTATTTATCGTCGAAACAACGGACCCGGTATGCTTCTGTTGGTATTATTTATTTGTTATCGACTATACTCTGCAAACTTTTATTTTATTATTTCTATTTGTAAATAAATAAATGATCTTTTACTTTATTGGATTTTCCGATATGAATTACAAAAGCTTTTGACAAATAACTGAAATGAATGAATGAAGGAACTTTATAGCCGATAATAACGAAAAGCCTTTGATACTAGATGTACATGGTGGTCAATAAAACGGGTAGTTATATTTTTATATTAGTATAGTCAGATATATATACTGAATCAAATGCAGATACTTGTAACATATTTCAACCCGGTTAAACTCAATGTGACAATTCGAAAAATGAGTTTACAAAGTTTAAAAACAAGAAAAAAACTAAAGTTACCTTTTCTAGCTAAATTGTATTATATGACTATGTAATTTTTAGATGTAGAAAAACGACCGGGTCAACAATAAGAGAAAATATCTTATTAGAGTCGCTGCAGCGAAAAGATCGAAAAGTTTTAGACTTTAACACACTTTATGAATCTCTAGTGGTAACTTTTTACCGTATAATTTATGTCTACTTCTTTTCTTTCTTTATTTCTTTTTTTTTCCATGGAATAAAGTTTAAGTTGTAAAAATATATATTATTCTATTAATAAACGAAAAATGAAACCCTCTTTATTAAAATACTTATTATAAAAGTTTAAAAGCACCTTTTATCTAATTAGATAGATATATTTGTACTGAACAAATAAATGTTTTTAAATTTTCTATTGAAACTTTTCGCGGTTTTAAAAAACATTGTTTTTAAAATAACTTTTGTTTGCAGACTGTTACCAGAAGAAGACCAAAAACCTCCGAGCAGTTTACTTATGGGCGGCACAGTGATTACTATGACTCTGCTATTGGTAATTACTTTTTAATTATTAATTAACATTCTGTCGTATCATATCATAATCAATAATACTTTTTTGATTATCTCATTGATACATAAATTGGTTAATATTTGATTTGGATGGTTTTATTAATACTTAATGGATAATTTATTGATCCATGTTTCTGTGGGAAGTATTTAGTGACAGTTAATTAATAAATTATCTATTCAAGAGAGTTTATTGGCTGTTAAAGATATTTATTAATATTTAAATTGATAGAATTTGTGGAAATATCTTTAATTTTATTGAATTTATATTCTGTTCTAAAATATTATTAGAATGTCATTTTAAACTCAATAAATTGCCTATAAGGAATAATAAATTTTTATAAATAAAAATGAAGAATTATAAAAATGAATTTTTATAATTCTAGATAATTATAATTTTTTTCGGAATAATTAAGGCATGTTTTGAACTTTGAAGTGATATTGACATTCTTAAGTGACCTTTAGATTTTCTAATTTTATAAATCATTATTCAGATTAGTTACCTGAATTTTTAATTATTAGTCGCGATTAATAAATAAGTTGGAACATTTTTAGAACGAGATTCTCTATAAAATATTTAGTGAGAAAAAATTTGAGGTCAAGTATGAATTGATAAATATTTTTAATCAATTAATTATTTTACTTCAATAAGTGATTAAATATAATAAAAGTTTTCACTTTAACAATTTTGGGAACACGGTTAAATTATTTTTTTTAGTTGGAATGGTTAATTGAATCTGTCTAAAATCGTGAAATTTATTTTCATTATCGCTTAGTGTCGTTAAAACAATAAAATACACATTAATATTTAGACAAAATCTTTTAAAACTATTTACAGATTTTTTATGAAATAAATTAAGCAAATTAAGTGAAAAATGGTTTTATATTATTTATTTATTTATTTATTTATCAAGAATTCGGAAAATTTTCTATATTTTTAATAAAATTGTGTGCGACGATCACAAGCTCATCATCATCATCATCATTAAATTCATCACGGAATAAATTGTTAGATAAAAATTTAAAAAATGTTAATTCGAATTTAAAATTGTTGAAGTATGCAAGTGACACGAGCGTGGGTTCAAGTAAATAGAGCAAACGAGAGCTCTTTTTTTATCTGACAAGTATTTTATTTCCCCGCCAGCTAAGTAAATTCAATTATTAACGATTTCCGAAAACCCTTCGATATTTAACTTCATAATAGAATTGCTATCACACGATTTAACGGATCACTATTTATTTTAAATAGCTTCGTATCCTCTCGGGTATAATATTGCAAGAGCAATATATTACAATAAAGATTAGTTGCTCAAGTTTATTATCATTATGATTAAAATCACTGGAACAACTTGAGATGTTTCAATCTTTATTATTTTTTAAGATACAAAAATTTTAGAAATTTTTTTTTTTTAACAAAAAAAGTCAAATTTTAACGGGAATCTCTTTTCATTCCGTGAATAGATTTTACAATCCATAGCAGTACTTATATTTTAGTGATTTTCTTTGAGCTTTTCATTAAAATCCAATCTGTAAAAGCTCCATTTACTGAAAAGAAGAAATTCAGTTCAATTAACTCCTTTCAGTATAAATTTCAAACAAGCCCTCGTTACTTAATTTAATCTTAATTTGTTATTTAGCATTGTCGATACTTTTTGCGGAAGATAATTAAACTAGATATTTATAAAAACTTGAACTATTTAAAGCATGAGAATATTTTTCTTCCTTTCAACTGATTTATTGTTGAATTTTTTCTACTTTTAATTTCAATGAAGCAATTAACAGATTGAATGCATAGAAATTAAGTCGAGATACTTTTAAATAAAACTTAAAAAAAAGTCTTGCTTTGATCTATCATTTTACGTAATAAGATTTTTAGATTTACTAAAAACTTGCAAAATTATGAAAATAAATTAAATAATAAAATTTCATCAAAAATCGGTTAAGTTATCTTCCATTTGAGACGAAACAATTCGTTTCTTCGTGTACAATCAATTTTTTTCAAGCTATAATTCTGTCAAGCGACATCTATTTCAGAATATGATGGATCAGGTTCAACCCCTAATAAGGGCAATCCTCAGCGGATGGAAGGAAGATGATTTATTAGAGTAACTTATTTACATTTACTTCAAAACTTTGGTTGGTTGTTGACACATAATTTTTTGTATTATACACCGATTATTAAGACTGTTTGTCAACTTTTATCTTAATTTATTGATTAAACGGTCTCGTGTAATCACATGTATTATTATACTTCCGTAACTTATTATTATTTATGATGTTTGGACAGGATATTTGTTATATTGATGTGACAACCTTAGAAGACCCTTGTTCATCCCCACGAATAATTGAGTTGGTCGGAAACGCTCAAATGGAGCATGATTCATACGATTTTTCTTCAAAAACCCACACTACGAATTAACTATCTTCGAACAATCATACATAAAAAAAATTACATTGTAAATAAGTTATTAATTTTTAAATAAGGTGATCTGACATTTTTATCTACCTGTCGAAATTTCTGAATAGAAAAAAACCAAACTGTAAATAAACATTTTTTTTTTATTCTAAAAATTTTTACAATTCTGACAAACCCTAAATTCACTGATTCATGACTTGTTACGTCATAACTAGACTTATTAAAAATTTATAATTTGTCCTTCATACACAAAGTAACACTCAATATATTTTTTAATAAAATTGATAGAATTTAATTGATTCCTCGACATTAAATTTTCCTATATATGAATTAGAATTTTGGCCTATTTTTGGACGAAGACTAGTGTTTTTCTAATTTAAGTCTAAAGATGGATCTTTCATCTTCCCTTTGATCGAGAGCTATATTCTCTCTTCACAGTAGTTCGATGGGTATCCATCAAACTTAAATACTAGTAAAGCTGGAAGCTTGTAGTATCTGTTCGAGTTATGAGGATGTTAATTAAGTGAAAGATAGTGAAAGAAAATTGAATGAGAGCAAAGACAGACTTTGAAAAAATAAGACTCCATCTTTAGACTTAAATTAGAAAAACACTAGTCTTCGTCCGAAAATAGGCCAAAATTCTAATTCATATATACTATCATGTCGGTCCAAAAAATATATCATTAATTAAATTTTCCTGTTTTATATTTTTTATATTTTTTTCAAGCACAGAAAACAAAATTTGAAACATTTTCTTCTCTTTTCTGACTTAGAAAAAAATTATACTTTTTATTAAATCATGAGTAAAGATATTGATGTGTAATATTTAGTAAAATTTTTTTTTACTAGAAAAAAAAACTGCATTTTGTAATGTACATTTTTGAATCTGGTTTCTTTCAAAAAATATGAAAAAAAAATTTATTTAGTTTTAAACTAGGCCTTAAAATAGGCCACTGTATATCAAATTCACTTACATAACTCAGAAAATATTGACTCGAGTTAATTATCGCTTATATAGCTAGCAACGTAGCTTCAACATAGCGAATTCCAAAAAATCGATATAAGAGAACATAAGCTTCGCTAGTACGTTCTGGCAAAATATTCTAACTAAAAAGAGCAATAAATAGTGAACTATTCCGTATTGAGCTGACGCGTTCGTAAAATATGATCATTGAATAATAATTCTTGTAATGGTGATCGATTTTAATCATAAGTAAATTAGACGTTAATTTTATGTCTTGTATATTCAAAAGTTTCACTAATTAGTAAATTTTTATGACTTAAAAAAATTGACAGATTATGACTAAGCTTTCGGTGTTAGAAAAATTGATCAAAATTCCATTTTAACAGTAAAATTATAAATATAAAATACTACAAAAATTCTACTTTTTTATCACAATATAAGGCCCAATAGTATATCTAAATTGATAACAAGGCCATAATAATATAAAATTGATTCAATGAATTGTAACATATATAATTTTAGATCTACGTCCGTACGGAAGTTACTTTCGGCAGTCACGTAGTGTGGTTGCGGGTTGCTAGCAATACAAAGTATATGTTTCATTCAATGTGAAATTTAGTATTGAGCATTTGATTCTGCAAAATATTGAAAATTCATATTTTACTCTACAATTTATATATTACATAAATTACATCGATATTTTTATTGATAACGATATTGCATTTTTTAAAAATAAACAAAAATTTTGCCATTTTTCAGATCTAAGTAAGCCGCCGTTCGAAGCGTGCAGTTTGCCAGTTTTAACGCATTTAACCAAAGAGAAAGATGACGTGGAAGTGGAACCAGTGCAAGCGTAAGTTTAATATATTTAATATCTTATCAATAAATAGCCATTGCAAGGCCATTCAATGTGGTGTAATAAAAAATTCTTATCAGTCTATATATCGGTAACTGTGCTTGAAACATTCACAAATAAACAGTTCTACTTTTATTAAATAATCAGAAATCAATAAACTTTATCTTAATGAGCTGAAAAAATCCGATAAAAATGTTTCATATCGCAAGATATTCAATGTAAATTTATAAAACTTTTCATCGCTCATTTAAGCCATCAATAAATTGAAATCTCAAGGACACTCTGGGAAAATTAAGTACTTAAAAAAAAACTAGTTAGATTCAATGATTGCAAGAGTAATTAATACTTAAAGCCGGGAAATTGGGATGTAAAGTAAAATTTAATTAGTTTTTATTCCTACTAAAAAAATTTATGTTCTTCAGTAATTTGATTCACTGATGATGTAGAATATCCCAGTAGAAGTAATGAATGAAACTGATGCTAGCGAAAATCTTTTCATATGAAAAGCAAACGACAAATCACAGAGAAATTACAGCTAGAACAAGTAGTCGGTGGTGACAATTTCATTCTGTAGTGCTCGTGACACAATCCTTCAACTCTCTTTGTACATTGATACTTAGTCTTGTCAAACATTCAAGTTTAACTTTTATTGTTTCGCTGTTTAACTTCATAACTCGACCGCTCTTTCATCTCCATTTAAAGTACGTAGGTGGTTAATTGCATAATTGTCATCTTTAGAAAGTAGATTTCTCAAGGATATATTATATTTAAACGTGTCACTTGCTTTATTTGTTGAGATAGGGGATGTTTTTTTGTGTGATAGAAATGTGGGCTATGTTTATCTACACTGAAAAAAACTACTTGATTCAAGAGAAATGTTCTTTTGAAAATTTCACTCTTTTCTCGAGATATTCAGTTCTCTTCATTCAATAAATTTACTCTTGAATCAAGAGCATAAAACTCTGGGATGAAAAGAAAGAATTTTTCATTCGAGAATTTTAGTTTGGAATGGAACAATATATTATCCTCAAACAAGATAACTTATATTTCATTTAAGAATTCCTTTCTCTTGAATAAATGTAGGCCGTAACATTGATTCAAGTTATTACCAGCTTATTTCAAGAATACTAACAATCTTTAGATTACTTTTATTTTCTATATCTTTAAAAGTAAATCTCAAATACTTTTCAGAATTAATTGAAGGAAAATATTTTTTTAGAGTATTTACTGGAATTTTTAATGAAGAAACTTTTTCTTGAACCAAGAATATAAAATTCTTGAAAAAAATGCATTTTTAGTTGATGGGAGTTCTGTTTTTCGATGGAGAATCTGATTGTATTGATCGAACAAAATATACTCTTGATTAAAGTTGTTGAAATTCTCTTCACCAAGAAAACGAGTTTCTACACAGAAAGAAAAATGTTCTTGAATCAAGTATATAATTTTGAAGAATTTAATATTCTTGATTTGAGTAGAAAAATTCTTGATTTAAGGAAATTTTACTTGATTCAATAATTTTTTGTCTTGATTCAAGACAATTACCCTCTTCAAAATTATATTCTTGGTTCAAGAATTTTTCTCTTGAATCAAGTTAATTTTTTTTTTCAGTGTATTAGACAAGAAATTCTTGAATCAATACAAGCAGTTCCTTTCAAAATAATTTTTCTTGGATCAAAAATATTATTTAGTGTAGAATTTTTGTAACTCCATATTTTAGAATTAAAATTTTTGATCAATAGCATAAAAAACTTCTTAAAGCATTAACTGTGAAAAATTTTAAGCAATTTTCGGGCGGTTTACAAAAAACTCTTCTTAAGACTATATTAATTTTTTTATTACGATCAAAGGTTTCAAGTTTTTATAAAAATTTTTACTTTATTCTATGTCTGTTTTAATACTGATTGCATTTATAATAAAAATACGAATATATATATAAAACAACATAGAAGAAATACCTTTAAGAGATTACATAGATATTACAATTACAACGAACAAAAGGAAGCAACAGTATTAATGTCCGTCAATGTACGGACAAGAGTATAGTTTTTCAGTTTACAGAATCATGTCATCAAAAGAGAAGGAAACACTTGTTTTCTGAAAATTATTTTTGACATTCAAGTACTTATCATTAAAGAACTTTGTGGAACTTGAGACTTTATTCTGGCGATGAAAACTACAAGTGTAATGATAATTATTCTATTTTTATTTCATTGTTCTATTAGTAATAAGTAATTTTTATAAAAATTCATCCACAGAACAAGTAGATCACAGTTTCGTACGTGTATATTCAGATTGTGTATTGCACATAACATTTCAAGCTTAAATGATCTCGGACATTAGCATACTCATTAAGCCGCGTCAAAGATTTAAAGTAAAATATAAAGAGAAATTAATTTTTTTCAAGTGTGCTCTATTTTAAAAGCAATTTTATTTTAATGACAATTTAAAATTAAATACTTTTCTTAATGCGATGCAAAATAAAAGCAATTATTTTTATGTTTCATTTTTTTCTAGTTTTAATATAAATTTACATTTAAACTAAACAATAACAAGGTATAATTACTGTGAAATTGCAATTAAATGGTTCTAAAAACAAACTATTAAAAATAATTTGTCATTTTTTTTTTAATTTTTAGCTCAAATATTTATTGATGAATTATCTTTACCAAAAAAAAGTCTTAAATTAATCGAAAAAAAATTTTACTTCTTTTTTAAAATAAAAAAAAAAAATATTTTTTTAATTTTTTAAAACAAAATGACAATTAAACTAAGAAATAAACTAACATACAATACGGCTGTCTTTCTTTTCTTGCTTTTAATCAAAATTAATACAATAAATACCACAATAGCACTACATCCCATTTGCGCGTACATCGAATTCAATAATTTGATTAGCACACATCGATAAAACAACCGAATAGCAATTGTTCTTTTTCCTTGTGTCCACGTCACGTCAAGCGTGTTTCAATGTGAGAATTGACACTTTAAAATTGACGTATCTTTTTATTTGTCATCCGATTTGAATGAAACGACACTAAATGTTAGCCCAAGCTTATCTCAATACATCACTGGAAATCACGTCGAGATTGGTTCAGCCGTAATGGAGATTAGCGTGCAAAAAAAATTTATTTACGACTTAAAAAAAAAAAATAATCTTTAAAATTTTAATTACGATAAAAATCGATTTTAATATTTTAAAAAATAATAATGTTATTAAAAATAAAATGTCAAACGTTTGTTTTTATTTTTAATTCATTTTATGATTATCATATTTATGTTGTATTTGCAAATACCATTGAGCGTGAATAAATAAATAAATACTTCCAACTGTTGATATTTTTCCGGAAAGTTATTTTTAAAAATAAATTGACGTCAATGACTCGATCGTTACTAAGGTGAAAATTTTTATAAAAATTAATATTTAATTAAAAATAATCAATTAAAGCAGTTGCAATCTTTATTTTCTTACTCATTTTTTTGCACAAGTAAGTTCTGTCTTTACAGATCCGTATTTTTTCATTTTGTAGCTATCTTTATTCATTAAAACGTGCTGCATTGTTGCTGTTTAATAAACTACAATTTAATTTAATTAAATAGTTATTAAATTAGATAAGTGTACTGTATTGTTGTCGTTGCCTTGCAAATAAAATTAATAAACTCAAAAATTACATGCAATATCAAAACTTAATGAAGCTTATTGAGTAAAGAGTTTGACAGGTAATTTTATTTCAAGTTGTATATTACAAATCTAACATGGATATACTGTTGTAATTAATAGTTGCAGAAGAGAGAGTAATAGAGGCTGGAACGGATGGGGAATATTAAGATCAAGTGCGCGAAATTCGTTGCTACGCCTGAACACCTTCAGCAGCACCACTGGATTCCAGGAACCGTCAGATTACTCAGTAAGTTTATTTATTATTATTCATTTATGTAAATATTTTTACATTTATATAGAGTACACAATGTTTCATATTTATAACATTTTATACTCTATTCAATGAATAGAATATCTGACACTTTGTACATTTATATTTAAAACGACCGTTTTCTCTTTATATTTCTATCTTTCTTATATTATTATATGTACATTCGCATACAGAAAATTCTACGTATGCAGTTATGTCAATGATATAATAATTTTCTGTGTATTTCACTTCACTTTGAGCTATTATATACTGAAGTAAATATACTTACTTATTCCAATATAAAATAGCCCCTAGCTATGTAATTATTCAAATTAATTCAAGTGAATTTTTACAATAAAATTTATTTTTAGGATTAATTTTTTAGATTGCTCTTGTATTAAAAAGTTATTTTAAGAATTGCATCTTAAAAAAATTAATCAAAAGACAATGCATAAAAAATGTATTTTTTATTAATCAATTTTTTATTTAGTTAATAAACTAACTAATGCATTATTTGAAAATCAAAAGTTAAAATAAATTTTCATAGTTTTGGAGGAAATTAAAAATTCAAAAAAATTTAGCATAAGTTCTATTTAGGATAAAAAATTTCTCGAATTTTATATTGACTAAACAACATTATTTATTGACGTGAAAATGATTCATCATTATTCGCTATTATATTTTTATTTTTAAATAACACAACATAATAAATTAAGTGTATTTTAGTAATAAAAATTATCAATAATGATGCGATTCATATTAAAAAAAAAATATAAAATTTGTGAAAGATTTATTGCATGGAAAGTAGTGTTTCGACATTGATTTCTTCTATATACCCCCTGCGTGCCAGCTCTATCTTCTCTCTATACAAACATTTTCAACGGATCGATCCGTCAGCTATCAATTATCATGTCTACAGGTATCGATCAGAAAACCCATGAAAAGGCTTAAATATTGGCGTGGTGTTTATTTAAAAGCATAAACTATGTAAAGCGATAATTTTTTGTGATTAATCAAACGAATGTGTCATATTTTTCAGAGTAGATACTGCATTTATATTTATATAAATCTTCATATCATCGAAGCATTGAAAGCTTACTCCGGTTATAATTTATAATTCTAATATACGAGAAAAAAAAATGATGAAATTTCTCTTAATTAAAGAAATTAATTATTGATTACATTGGATTTTTCTCGAGAAACCTTCAAAATTACTTAATTAAATTTTATTCAATTTAATTTAAATCATTCATTTACTTATTCGATTCCGTTCAAATAAGTTTTTATTTTTTCAATTAAAAATATTTAGTTTGAAAATCGAATTTTAATTTCAATTAAGATATTTTAAATTAATTATGCACTAATAAAAAAATAACTTAATTTAAGACATAAAATTTTGAACCATTGACATTATTTTGAAGAATTTCTTTACTAAAAGATATTTTTTTAATTCAAGATTTTTTTTTTTTTGTAAATTTTTTTATCAATGCGTTAACTTCTAGAATTATTTTACAATTTTTCCTTGTATTTTACTTTTACAAAAAAATTCATTTATACGCTCTTATTACTTTCAACGTTACCAATTAAATTACAAGTATAAAATCTATGACTCTGACCTAAAAAACAGTCGAATCAAACTCGAGTAGCAAGTGATAAAAAAAAATGAAGTATATTTATAAATTTCCGAAGGGTGTATTTCTTTTTCAATAATTTATTCGCTTTAAAAAGACAAAAAATTATCAATTTCTGCTAACTTCATCGTATTATATCATTAAGAACATAATTAAAAATAAAGAAGAAAATTTACAGTGAAAAAATAAATCATTTGAAAAGTTCTAATCTCATTAAATATTTTAATTTTATTAATACAAACTAACTAACTGGGATCCCTCATGATTACAAGGTTGAACAATCAACTATTAGATATTTTCCAGCAGCCTAATACCCAGAACTTCCTTCTGGTTTTTCTCTATTTGAAATCAAATTTGCATGTGTACTTTTTGTATGACCTAATCAAGTTAACACTACCAAGCTCGGAAACTTTTATCGAATTGCATGGATTTTTTTACACAAAAAAATATTTACCGAACAAAATTTTTATCTAGAGCTTTTGAATATATCAAACGGCCATCAGAACTCTTTTTTAATCCAACACTTTTTTTAATATCTGAACCGATTGAAAAGTGAAACTGTCTGTAATAATGAAATTTTATTTTATTATTTTTTATCAAGTTCTAATCTCCACAATTTCTCAAATAGATTTATTGCGATAATAGAACTGTTATACAATAAACTGGTTGTACGCAAGCATAGATCAATCCAGTTGGGTTTACCAAAGATTCGCAGTCTATAAATATGGAATCGAATTGGTAAACCTACTGAGCCTTAGCAAAGGAGTCGTTCATTCTCTCATTTCCGTTTTACCCCAGATTATTTCCTCCGGTTAATCTCCGTTGGGAAACGGTAAAAGAGGGAAATATATATGTTTTACATTTTACCTCTCATCTCTTGTGTTGATGGAATTATACCGATAAGCTTTGCTTTTTTTTCTAACAAAAAAAAACAATTACTAAAACTTTTATTTTTTTTTTTGAACGAAAACTTTTTAATGTTTCGTCTCTGAGAATTTTATTCTCAGCCAGCTACATTCTTGAGAAATTAATTTAATGTATTTTAAATTAAATACGTTCTGTTCTAAAAAACCATCGCATAAATAATTTCTTATCTTTTTTTTTTTTTATCGCTTTATTATGAATTACGATTAATTGTATTTTTCCTAAATATTTTAATTTCAATTTTAGAAGACAATTTTTTTCTTATCTCCAAGAAACTTTTAATATTTTTTAGGCTGTACATTAGAATAAAACAATAATTAATTATAATTTCTTTGTTATTTTTTGTATTTCTAATTGGTAATTGATTGAATTAATTAGCAATTGAACAACTGAATAGTAATTTTTAGATTTTAATTTTTATTTGATAATTTAATAACTCAGATTTAACTCTCTAGTAAGGGGAACATTTAGGGACCATGCGCCACCTGTTGGAAAATTTCTAAACTATTTTGTCGAAAAATTATATATGGACATATATTAATCATATAAAGTCTATTAAATTATATCAGGGCTTATAAAATTTTCTAATATGGTCACAAATAGTGCCAAAAATATCAGAAAATTTTTTCACAGGTTTTATTAATTTATTTTTTACGTTTAACAGCTAAGGCCAATAACAGGACTCTAAAATCGTAAAATGTAAAAATATTTATTTTTTAGCAATAAAATATAATTATTGACTATAATTAGAAGAAAAAAAAGAAACAAATTTAAAAAAAATACTCTCACTCAATGAATAAATAACAAGTAACAGTGCAAACATCCGATAAAACGATTTAATAAAACAAAGACAATGTAAGAGAAGTAGTTAATAGTAACAACACACATATTTAATGAGAACAAAAATAGCGGTAACAGTAGCAGTACAAAGCTCACTATTTATTAAAAATGAAATCACCAGTCGAGTAAAGCATTGACTTACTCTACTTGAGCTAAAATTTAATCAACAGCCCGATCCTACCATCGGCGCTTCGCGTATTATCCACACCCAACCCATTTATTTATTTACTATCACAACTAAACATGAAATAAACAATCCCAAGAGCAATTATCGTACAATTGAGTTGATTTATTCAAAATTCAGTGATAAAAATAAAGTTAAGTTAAGTATGACAGAGAAAAGGGGTACATGCGCGCGCTTAACCCTCGCTGCTTATATCCTCTGAGGGTTGATGTCGGACTAAACCAACTCTTCGTCCAGTTGGTTGCGCGACGGTAAACTCGAAGGAACCTTACCCGAAATAAACAAAAGTTTATAAAGTTTATTCTACTACTGTAATAATAAAATTGAATTAAGTGATTGACTGTCAAATTGGGTCACTTTAATTTTTATTTCTAACGGAAACTTTGACGTAACTACGTCTAAGTATATAAGTATATCAACCTAACTACACAGTTACTTCGTATTTCCTTTGTTGGGTTTGATAAATCCAATTGACTTATCAAGATTTGATTTTTTTTTTTTAAATAGCAAGTTGATTGTTTTTTATTTTTTTTTCCTCACCAGTTGGTAAGAATTTTATTTTAATAATTTTTTTTTTTCGTTTGAAATAATTTGGTCATTAATTTATGATACTAATGTTGATAAATTGCTAAACGATTTAAGTAAATATTGAGTCCGATGGCAATGTTCGATGAATAAAATCAAATTCATGAATGAACTATTGATAGTTAGCGATCAATAAAATAAAATAAAAATTACGATTTTTATTTTAGTACTAGTTTACCTTATTCAACATTTTTTCATCACGGGGATTTTAGTTGTAAAAGTAAAGGTAACAAAATAAATTAATTGATTAAAGAAAACTTAGACATTTTTTTTTTTTACAAACTTCGACAAGTAAAAAACGAATTAATTAAATTAAGATGTTTTAATTATACGGAAAATAAATTTGAATTGATAACAAATGTTTTACAACAGCGATCGGATTTAAAAAAATTACAACCGAAAGTTGAATAATAGAATTGACCCTCTGAAAGAAGAAATAACATAAAAAAAAATAGCCGAAGTATATAAAAGAAGTTGAAACATGTCGCGCATATATACCCACGTTGGATCGAAATCGTAGTGTTTAGATAGTTATAGCTTATAGCTTTGGATATCGTGTCTATGTAGTCCCTTGATATAATTCGCAAGAACAAATAAAACGTGTACAAGCGTAAAAGGGGTATATTAGTCATGACAGTAAAATATACTCGGTAAATATAGGACTAATACTGCTATTTATATAATGCAGCTAAATAAGCTGATAAATATATAAGTTTGTTTGGTGATAATTTAAAATAATAGGTGGAAAAGTGAAATAGTACTTTTGGGATCTTGATAGACGCGTATAACATTTATATTGATGTAGAAATTGCCACGGTTGCGGGTTCACACAAACAAACTAATCACGGTTGGCCGGGTTTAATATCTGTATCTATACTCCCGAATATAGATATAGATATATATATATATATATATATGAGGGTAAATAAATGTACGTAGGGTTAAGAGGCGGTGGGTATATCGTAACAATGCGCTCGAATGCACCTAATGCAAGCACGTTTTCCGGTTTGGCGGGAAGCTGACACCTAACTTCTGGCACCAACTGTTACGGATCGGTGGCTTTTCAACATGATGCACGACATCTCGCTGAGACATTAATTCAATACGTAAACTCAGCTGCAATTAAATCATCCGTGAATAAACATTTAAAATGATAATATTTTATTTAATAGAATTAAAAGCTGAGTTATTTGTTGATTTTTTAAAAATATACCGTGAATTAATAACAGGTTACATGTTAGTTTTATTTAAATGTTTTTCATAATTATTGACGTAGGTGACAAAGTATTTCTCAGGGGAAATAAAAAATGATGATTTCCTTCTTTTTTTCACGTATATTTTGTCGAGTGACGGCAACATTCGTCTACAAGTTTCCAGCACGTTCGCTCTTTTACTTTTTTGTTTAAAAAAAAAGGCTTGCGTCATGGGGATTATATACTTTTACATGAGAGTCATCTGACTTTTTCATTTGCTTCATTCATCGTAACTTGCATATATTCCTTAATACATATACATGTATCTCTGTATAAATATTACCCGTAACAGAGTGGAATCAGCAATATTAAGGACAATTTAACATTTTACGAATAAAATATATGAAGTAATGCTCGAAAGCCATTTCCGAGAAAATGCCGTTAGTAGTCTAGTATAGAAGCAGTGTTCATACTTGAATACAAATAGCATTTGAGCAAGTTTTTCAAAAGTAGTTGAACTAAAGAACAAGAACAACTGGATTTTAGTCGTCACTTAAACTTTTTCTTTATTTAGTTTTTGTTTAATTTCTTCTTTTAAGTCTTGCCGCTTGGTAAAGAACAGTAATAATAATTACAATAAAATATATACGGGGCGAGTTAATCAGGTAGGGAGATTCGCGTAAAATGCAATAGAATGTAAATTGGCAAATGAAATAGCGTAGAAAGAATAATCGAATGTTGAATTGTCGAGTTTAACGTGCAATGTAATCTAGAAAAGAGGAGCGAAACAATCGATACCGAGCGAGCGTCGCTACCCTTAAGTCAAGGCCAGCAAAAGGCTCTACTTGTCGATAATAATACACTAAAAATCTCAGTGCGATCTTGTATGATGACGGCATTAGTGTATTGTTGTTGCATAATAAATTTTTTACTGTGTCACACTTGGTACTCAAAATTTACAGCTGTTGTTACTGTCATTATTATTATTAATGTTAGGATTACTATTATCATTATTGTGATTACACGTCTGAGTTGTGATAGGTGGACACGGTAATTCTCTTAACTCAACTCAAATGACTATTGTAGTCGTCAGTGCACCCGAGCACGTCTAACTGGAACTGCTGGGTCCTTGATTGCACTCGACTAATCCAACAACTGGATCTGCTGTCCCTCAGCTCACTAATTTCATCTCTGATTTACAACTAAATATTTTCTCATTAAAACTCAACGCAATCACCACCGGTTTGCAGTATTTAAATTCGTATTTTATTTATTTATTCTTATTACATCTGTCCGCTGTTGCAAAACTAATAATAAATGACCAAATTATTTTAGATAATTTTTTATTTCAAGTGTTTATTACTATGTTTTTTTTTTTTTTTAAAGACGAAATGAAAAAGTTTAAACGTAATGACGCCTAAGGCCGGTTCGTCCAAAGAGTTTATACTACATAAACTTTAGGAAGTTAACCTCTTGAGTAGGACACCGATTAACTAACAAGAACTTCAGAAGAGGATCAATCTTCCTTGACAACAGTACGGTTGACATAACAAATTCAATTCCCTCAAATATCGTACCTCTTTTTATATTTATACATACTATTCTGAGAAGGAAAAAAACAAACTACCCGACGTATTTCCACATTTACGTATATCAAGTTTCGATGTCACAGTTCAACGGTCTCGTAACAAAAAATGAAAGTCAGTTCATTAAGCTCATATTCTTATCGCTTGACTGTAATATTAAAATTTCGCAAGCTTCTAACCACTAAAAAGGCATCGCTCGTAAAAGAATAAATGACTTGGGTCATTACCAGAAGCTTAAAACTATAAATTCAAGTAAAATTACAAATAAAAAAACTGGTAAATCGTCGAGTATGCATTCAAGTGATATGAGCCAGTAAAAAAATTTGAAGAAAGTGGTCAATAAAACAAGAAAACAGTATAAAAACATCTATAAGCAAGCTCTGAGGAGAGTGGAAAAGCCAGAGAAATCGTTATGCGAAAACGGACCCAAACAACGGCGCAGCGTATTGCGCAGTCTCGTACGGAAATTAAGTAGTGGTGGGGGTCGCACGAAAGCCAGTCGTGCTGAGGACTCCAGAGCGAACGGTTCCACAGTGTCCGTCTCCGGGAGCAGCGGTAGTTCAGGTGGCCGCGGTAGCTTAAGCCGGCGTGCCAGTCGAGACGCTAGTCCCACTAGCAGTTTTACAGCTGTTTTTAGCAGCGATGCCAATTCAGCTGTTGCTCCTCATTCTGGACTCGGGCAGCCTGTCACCCCTCCTTATGCCTGCCAGGATTGGCGAAGGTTAGTTGGGAGCATTCGCCGAAAAGTACGACGTAAGACACCAACCAACAGCCCCAACACTATTGAGTCGCATAATAATGATACTAAGCATCACGATGATTTTCTCAAGGCAACCATGAGGATCTTTTTAGTTGTGTCGCCACCTATGGCCCGTGTTCAGGTGAGAATTTATCCTCGAGTTTAAAAAATTAAGGTAGTACTACCGGTTTTAGAATTGACGTTTAAAATTTAATAAAATTTGGCATATTGGTACTTTATAATATTATAATTAAGCAGTAAAATTTTTGGAACCCTGGCAAATCCTGAAAAAAAAAATATTAATACCTACATATTTTTGCTTTTACCATTGATCCTTATGGAGAATCACAGACTTTATTTTATTTCACAAAACTGGACGTTCAGATTTTTATAAAAATCAAGACAACGAGAGAAAATAACATTTAGAACATATTTAATAACAATCAGTATGATTTCCAAAAATCAGTGTTCCCAGAAACTTTTGCTTGTCTGATTGACACAGTGCCGTCAAATTATCAGGTCTTCTGAAAAATTATCGTACGCACAAAAAAAAATTTTAAACTTAAGTTTTTGACTAAATTTACATAGTTAAAATTTTT